TTTTTTTTTTTTTTTTTTTTTAATTCAAATAAGTACTTTTGATCTTCGCAGATTAACAGGAACAAGGACATCACAGACGAGGTGAACCGGAAATCGCGTCTGCGCAGGTCTACAACATTTACTGACACAGACACTGACTCTGACATGACGTATAATTACGATTATGGGGACCCAAGTAAGTGATCTTATAGGCCTACTTATTTTGACCAACATTTTTACTATTTATTTATAAATTTTCATTTCTTCATTTATATTAGCTTCATGATGTAGAAAGTATTTGTATAGCAGTTACAACATATATATAAAGCCTCGGAATAATTCCAAATTGATAATGAGGCGATTAACACATAGCTGAAACTACCACAGTATAGGGCCTACAACTGTGGGAGGCAAATCATTCGAAGATGTGCTGTCATTCTGTATACTTTCCCGTATGTCGATCTTATTTCTTCTGGTTTTGTACCATAATGAAACGGGTGACTAACATACATGTAGCAGTACTTGCCGGTTTTAACCACGCAAACTTTAACAGACACATTTACCAACACACGCTCCTAACAATACTACCACATCAGTTACGCACGTGCGTAACTGATACACGATGCACGAATACAAAGGCTACACCCCTTTACATCTCTTTTTTATTACTACCCCGCACTGTAACGATGTAGGGAAGTAACGGTGGAGGGGAGTAACGATGTGGGGAGGTAACGGAAGAGGGGAGTAAGGATGCCGGGAGGTAACGGTGGAGGGGAGTAACGAGGTGGGGAAGTAACGGTAGAGGGGAGTAAGGATGTGGGGAAGTAACGGAAGAGGGGAGTAAGGATGTGGGGAAGTAACGGAAGAGGGGAGTAAGGATGTGGGGAAGTAACGGTAGAGGGAAGTAAGGATGTGGGGAAGTTACGGAAGAGGGGAGTAAGGATGTGGGGAAGTAACGGTAGAGGGGAGTAAGGATGTGGGGAAGTAACAGAAGAGGGGAGTAACGCTGCGGGGAAGTAACGGTGGAGGGGAGTAAGGATGCGGGCAGGTAACGGTATAGGGAAATATTGATGTGGAGAAGTAACGGTGGAAGGGAGTAAGGATGCGGGCAGGTAACGGTATAGGGAAATACTGATGTGGAGAACTAACGGTGGAGAGGTGGGAGGATGCGGGAAGGTAACGATGCGAGAGATTCCGGGGCGCACCGATAGCTGGAAATATCATATTTTTTTCTGGAGGGAGTAACGATACAGGGATGTGACTATGCGTGCTGTTATCGATGTGGGGGCATTACGAAACAGGAATTTCAAGAGGTGGCCCCAGTTTTAAAAAATCGTGTCTGTGATGACCGTACTGGAGATGTATAACAAAAATTCCACTAATTAGACCTAATTTGTGCATGTGCCCAAGACAATTTAAAACAACGATCGAGTCATTTTTACCTTTGCCTAGATGCTACGGCTGTGAATGTCAAGTGGTCGAGTTCAGCCCAGATGAAGGCTGCCATAAAATTGTGTACTGATGCTGCTAAGGCTTCCAGTGCCTTCACGCCTTGTGAGAAGTCGGGCTTAGTGAACGTGCAGGAAATAGTAGACGGTTGCGTCGATGACATGAAGGTATGGATATAATGGAAGGCAATCGGTGAGAATACCGGCCAATTGCATGGAGCATAAATGTATATTCTGTACGCAGAATGATTAAATGAGGGTTATGGTATTTTCTATTTTCTATCCTGTATAAATGTATATGTATTGGTATTTTGAAGGCCAATTTTTCACCCAAACAAAACCGATTTCTGAATAATGGCACAGTGTATTGGACTTTGTAATGCCAAAATATATATCTGTACCTTGTATAAAAAGTGATAGGGAGCGGTTAAAATGTATCACTACGAAAATCAGAAGCCTCAAAACATCATATATCGCACAGTACAGGGTATGTACGAAAACACGACCAATTTAGTCACAGTGCATGAATATTCTAAAAACCCTCGGTATAATTCACTGGTAATCCCCCTACCTGATTAAGTCTGATTAAGAATTTCGACTGTCGCTGGCGCCTTTGACTTACTGGCGACCTGTATTTCAGATCACCAATGGAGACAAGACCTACCTTGACTCTGTAGCCAGTACCTTTGACACAATTTGCCAGGAGGAGATTTTGAAGGACCCAAAATACTACACAGCACAACCAGATGGTATTTTTTTTTTTACACTTTTTTGTTCCGTTTATCATATTAAAAATATGTTTCACTGGAAATCCATGTTTGTGACAATCGCCTACCTATAAAATATGAAACTTGGTTGAGAAATCATGCATATTCCCTTTGTTCCAGACGCGAGCGATCCAACAGTGACCGGAGGAACTACAGGTTGGCTTTCGTTAATTGTAACTTAAAATCAGGGCACATCTACCGGGGAATTCGAACTTAAAAGTATCCGAAACCGTGTCAACTGGAAAAGGGGCATAATAATAATAATAAATAAATAATTTATACAAAGAGGTTTTGCATTAACGTCGCTTCCGTTCAGATGCTTTGCATCGACGTCACTTCTGTTCAGAGGCTTTGCATTGACATCACTCCCGTCACTTTCTGGAGTCGGTAGCAGACCTCGTGACGTGCAGTTCAAAGCGGCACCGTAGCGAACTTTTGATTTTCAACCATAAATTTCACTTCTTAATTTCACATAATACCCCCCCCCCCCCACCTAAATCCGAGTTTAAATACAGTGTCTAAAATCCGTAGCGAGACGTACTTTTGTATTTCAGGTACAATGGGAATACCATCGTTCATATCCAACATGTGCTCTACTCCATGTAAGCACGGTGCTTGTGTCAACGGCGCATGCGTATGTGACAGGAACTGGGTTGGCGATGACTGCTCTGTGGACACGACAAAACCGCCGATAGCGTTTGGTTTGACAAGGTGACGTATATAAGGGACTAAAACCATTAGACAGAAAAGGGCGTTGCTGTTACGTCGTCAACTCGAATGAGCAAATTTGCTTTGATGTATTTATGATGTGATAACATTATCTCATAATAGGCCTCTGTTTATTTTGGCATTCCCTTAACGGACGGTAAAAAAACTAACTTATCGAACCCCTTTAAATTTTCTAGCGAATGGGAACTTTGTGCGATCAAAATAAATTTACATTTCTATCCCAAGTAATGGAATATCAAGAAAATTGACCGCTGTTTTTTATTTTTAACTGTTATATTAAAACTAAATTATGAGATGATAAATAATGATAAGAATATCGAACCTTTCAGATCGGATGCCTGTGATATTCGAACGCGTCCGTGTCGTCTAGTCTTCCTTGACATGGAGAATGTAGCAGATACGCCGGGTCTTTGGTGTCGAGTGAAGGAAAGAGTAAATTTGGTGCGTCTGGGTCTGTACCCATTGATACGTTTTTTGAAGCTCAATGACTAGATGTTGATTTCTTTTATTTGCTGGAGAGTCTGCTCAAGACCGAAACGGTTTGCCTCGGGATTGAAGGCTTTAACCATACCAACTCTTATATCTGACGTTGTATTCGCCCTTGGAATGCATAGTTTAGATCGCTGTTCAATGAAATCTTCATATATTTATCCACATAAAAGGAAATAAGATAACAACCTCCGCCAAGGAAAGATTTTTTTCGACGTTGGTATGTCTGTCTCTATGCGTCAGCAACATCACAGAAAAAGTTATAGGTGGATTTTGATGAATTTTTCAGGAAAAGATAAGATAGTTAGCAACTATAAGATATTATTTTTTTGGAGTGGGGAGAGGGGTCAGATCATTCTCTATTTACCACACATGTAACAGACAAATGTGTGGATTTGTTTTTCAGGACCAGGTGTAATAGAACTGACAAATTTTTGTTACTGACACCAGCTTATATGCTATGGTTAAAGCAAGCTTTCAGTGGATTTCATGTATCTTTTTAAACTAAAAATATACTATTAAAATAGTCACATCGTTATATTCATAGGGAATTCGCAATACGTGACCATCGTTTTTGCTATATAATAATAATAAGAATAATAATAAAATGTTTTAAACTGTTTTTAGGGTCCTTTCGGCGGTGTCCTTAGAATGTTTAGGACCAAAGGACACTTCCAGAGCTATGCAGAGGTATCCTGTGAGATTCCAGAATCTCCCGTACACAAAGGTCAGTTCAATCACTTTAAACAATCCCTGGTGTCAACGTTTTCACTGCCATACTGCAGAATGTTTCCCAGCTTTGTGTCAAAACAGTAGTTTGCTTTGTGTTTGAAAATTACACCCCATTTCCATAGATTTTTAGATCGATCTATCCCTATGGGGAGTCTCACTATATTACTCTCAGCTTGGCCGTCTTAAGCGTCTGTCCCGCCTACTAAAAGCCGTAAGGGGGTAATTAACTATGGTGCCCGCTCGGCTGACTGCAATTTAGCGTGAGCCCCAGGGAGTTAGGTCGATCTAAAACTTAATCTTTAGATCGATCTAAATCTCTGGGAAAGCACCCTTAGACCTACTAAACTTGTTAAACATAAACCAGCACAAGCATGCGTTAACGTACCGTCGACGTTTCGTTTGTATTTATTAATAAACCTGGCTTCCATACTGTTATATATGTTACATGCGTAGTTACATATAGGTCTATAGGTACTTCTGGGTCCCTCCAATCAAGGAGTTATAACAGAAGGAGATTACACGCGTGGGGGCGGAGCCCGTATTACGGTCTCTCATTGGTCGGAATGAATAGAACCCAGAGAACAATGGATGCCTATCTCTGTTACGCTTAATTGTTACTCTCGTTTAAATCTCGTTTGTTAGTATCTGTGCCTTCGTCTGTTGATTTTTGAGGACAGAAACAGAAACGGAGTCCCAAGTTTCTAAAAAATGAGAGAAATACAGAATTTATATGATATTACGTTGGACAAGGTTTTCAAAAAACAGGTAAGTGCTTTTAAATGCATAACTACACGAAATATGAAGATAAATTGCAACTTTTATGTCGTAGGGTCTCACTGTGTAAGTGTCCAGCTACACGTTGATCTCGCGAGGTGGTGTGTGGAGAATAAATATTGCACGAAAAATATTTCCCACTCATAACAAGTGCCTATAAATATAGTATCAGATGAAGAAAGTTTGGTCTTTATACA